ACGTCTTATTCTGAGCAGTGTATGCCCCCTCAAACGTCAGAGCAACTGTGTCCTTTGGGAGAAACAGGGTTTTGAACACCCCCATGCAGCTGGATGCTAGGGTGGTAAATGAGAAGGGGTCAAGCTCTGTGCACTCTATGAATGTCTCACGATAGATGCTGCAGGCTTTTCGCAACACTTCTACATCGTAAACACAGTAGCGTCCGATTTCTTTTTGGAAGTCAAATGTTCCTCCTGAAACGGCATTATACCATTCCATGAATGCCGCTTTATCGCTATCACTCATATCGTCAAAGCCGTAGTAGGACGGATCAGGATATTTACCGACATAATACTCATGCTCCCGGGTGTTGAACTTGTGGGGAAAATAGCCTTTCTCGACACTGAACCCTAGGGCAGCAGGGTTTTTTGACAATCGCATAGGCAGGAAAAACTGAATGAGTCAATCCATCTCTCCCGTTATGAAATGTCATACATCAGTATTACCCTCCTCCCTCTCATGGTGATTTGCGGAGTGATCTTTTGTTTTACAAAATATTCCAACAGAATATAGTTGTCAAAGCCGGATGCGTTGTGGGCAATAAACGTGTAGCCTTTGTATCTCGGTCTTCTGTAATACTTCACAAAGGTGTCCACATAATTCAAAGTACTGAAACAAAACTTTTTTCCCTCTAAATCCATAGCACATACATAATTTGACTCGTGTTTTCCGTTATGAAACCTTTTCTCAAAGTCAAATAATATGTAGGTTGTTTGCGGATCTTTCTTTTCAAGAGGCTGAATAAAACACTCATGTTTATCTTTGCTCTCCAACTGTCTACAACTGCAGACTTTTGGAGCGCATTTGTGCGCTTGTTGTCCTGCTTTGTATGTTTTTCCACATGCCTTACAGTATTTCATAGCATCACAGGGGATGAGGGCATGGCCGCTTTCTGGCCGCTTGTGCGATCAAAACAATATTTCGACTTACATATGCGTTTACAATCACCACATTTCTGTGTTTTACCCAACTGTGTACGACACTCTAATGTAAAACACACATTACACAGCTGTTCACAGCTGTGGTATAATCGATGTTCATAGGCTTGGTAGCCTGGCATACTTGTTTTGCCCCAAAAAAGCCTTGCTGGTTTTAAATCAGGTGATAATGGTCATTGTGTAGATATAACCAGCCTGTCCGGGGATGAGGCGCATCGTGGGTTTGGAAACACTGAAGTCGTTTATGACCTGCTGCTGCATGGTGGAAGATTATGATTTTCACACCCAGATGTCTTTCAAAAGCATCTATCGGAGAATGAGACCTTGTGCATTAGTCCAAAACCCAACGATCTATGTAGTTGAGTTGCAAATCTCACTTAGCTTGCAGGGACATGTCTGGATGATTAAAATGTGCTAAACAGAGCGAAAAGCACAGGTTATTATCAGTATTGTCAGGGGTGTGCAGAAACTGACACTTTTTAGATAATATCTCATCATAGGGTACATTTGCTAATTTTAGATAGACCCCACCATTTCTATTTTTAGCTACTATATATATATATGGATGATGTCACATACCTTGTAGAAGGTCTCTCAGACTGGTAAACTGTATGTACTTTTTTTTTTCACTCAAGGGGCATACAGGTCTATTGGTGAAAAAAAGTTCAACAACACTAATCAATAAAATACATAAAAATATTTGATAGTGTTCCAGTTACCTGCAACCCCCGTTTCTTCATACTGCCATTTTCCCTACCTGTACCAGCTCCCTGGTTGGTGCACGTAGTCGTTGGTGGTAGACAACTGAGTGCAGCAACCTCCTTTTTCAGTTTTTCAACACTCACATGTATAGGCGTCAAGCTGTCATCTATTTCTAAAAGGTGTAAATACCGTGGCTGTATCTATATAGGAGAACCATACCCCCGAATGCAACACCATTACCACCTAAGGATCCTGTTTTTCACACACCCCTGGACTCAGGGGGGGTTCATTAAAACTAAACAAACTGCTCACTGTTTACCACATAAGGACACTGTTTTTTCTCCATCCCTGGGGTGCTGAGTCACAATATGCTGTGCTAGGTCGACACATGTATTCCTCGTTAAAAAGATGTCTGTTTTCCTGAGGGTAGGCCTTTGTGACCCTCAGGGGGGTTCTCGGGACATTTGGGGGTTGGCACCGTTGGGGTGCTGTGTCACATTATGCTGTACTAAGTCGACACATGTGTTCCTCGTTAAAACTTAAGATGTCTGTTTTCCTGAGGGTATAGGCCTTTGTGACCCTCAGGGCTTTCCTCTGTTAGGTTACAAATTGTGTCCTGATGGTTAAGAAGTTAGCCCCCTAATTCATGCATTAAGATGTTAATGGTGAATCTGAACAGAAGCACCAGTGTCTCACTGATTTGTGGCGGGGCCTCTCATACCTTTGAAGAGAAGAAGAAGACTACACAGGGACCACACTGTGATAGGCCTCTGCTGTTTCACTAAGAATCCTGGAGCGTGAACCCCCATGGATGAGTCCAAAAGGAGTGCGTTGGTGGTGGAGGCGAATAACACATCTATATATATGATGAAACCCCTCCTACAGTGACGTGTTTCCGGTCAAAACTAACGCCCATCGCATAAAACACACCCTGAAATGGCGAATTTCCAATCAAAACCCCGCACGTCATCCTCAAAATGGCGTATTTATGCTTGAACAGTGCACGCCCCCCCCCCCCCTACAAATCACGCCCCAAAATGACGTATTTCCGTTTCCACTCGTAAAATGACGCATTTGCGGGCATGACCGCAAAATGGCGGCGGTTAAGCCCACTTCCTGTACCCCCCCCCCTTGCGCGTGCATGAGGTTAAAGGTCACATGCACAGTCGTATTTCCGCCCCTGTCTCCTCTTGGGTCATTGTTTTACTGCTTCCCTCCAAACAAACGAACCTTTGTTTTTAATTATTTCGAGTTCCTAGGGCTTTTACCTAGGTGGCGTTGTTGGCAACGCACTTTTAGTTCTTAAGAAGAACCTCGGCCGCTGACACAGTCGTAGGTGAAGAGGGAGTAGAGGAGAGGACTTAGCACACAGCCCTGTGGCACGCGGTGTTCAGGATGAGGGTTGAGGAGGTGTGGTTCTCTATCCTAACAGACTGGGGTCTGTTGGATAGGAAGTCCAGTATCCAGTTGCAGAGGGAAGTGTTGATACCCAGGTGACTGAGTTTCGTGATTAGTTTAGAGGGGATGACAGTGTTGAAAGCTGAACTGAAGTCTATGAACAGCATCCTCACATTGTTGTCCAGGTGAGAAAGGGCGGAGTATAATGCCGTGGAGATGGCATCCTCCGTACTCCTGTTCTTGCGGTAGGGGAATTGGAAGGGGTCCAGTGTGGGTGGTAAGCAGGTTTTGAGGTGAGCCAGGACCAGCCTCTCGAAGCACTTCATGATGGTTGGAATGAGTGCAACTGGGCGGAAATCATTTAGGCTCACTGCGGTGGAGTGCTTTGGCACTGGCACGATAGAGGTGGTTTTAAAGAACGTGGGGACAGTAGCTTGGGCTAGTGACAGGTTGAATATGCCAGTCAGGACCTCAGCTAGCTGCCCAGCACAGGCCCTGAACACGCGTCGAGGGACGCCATCAGGGCCAGCAGCCTTACGTGCATTAATCCTGCTCAGTGCAGCACACACGTCGGTGGAGGAGAGTGTGAGGGGCAGGTGGTCTGAAGTGAGCACAGCCTTGATGGCGGCCTCCTGGTTGTCCCTGTCAAAGCGTGCATAAAAGCTGTTAAGCTCGTCACGGAAGGAGGCATCATTGTTTTGGGGGGTGGTGTTGGTGGGTTTGCAGTCTGTTATGGCCTGGATGCCTTGCCACATGCGACAGCGGTCGGAGTTGGGCTTGAAGTGCTGCGCAATCCTTAGCTTGTGGCAGTGCTTGGCCTGCTTGATGCCCCTCTTCAGGTCAGCCCTGGATGAACTGTAGGCTTGAGCATGACCTGATCTGAAAGCGGTGTCTCGTGCCTTCAGCAGTAGGCGGACCTCTTTGTTCATCCATGTCTGGTTGGGGATGGTGGTGATATTGTCTAGGAAGTGCAAAAAATAGAGGGAATATTATATTATATACACAAAAAAATTATAACAGACTTCCTGTTGATTCTAGAGCATGGTCCCTAGAGACTTTTTTCCCGAACATGAAGTTGATCGGGTTTAAACCCTCGGAGGAGTTTGTTTGTTTGTAAATCCAAAATACGATGGAAATTGCATAAAACAAGCGAAATTTCAAATATTCTGAAAAAATCAGGGTATGCTCAGGGATTCAATGTAAACATATCCCAGAGATTTGGTGAGGACAAGCAAATTACCTTTAAAGTTATAGGTCTTTCTTTTTTAAGCCACACCTCCTACAACCTTCATTAGTCCATAACTTTGAAACCCAAAGAGATATCGCCAAGCTTTTAAAAATGATTTCCTGAAATTTTCGTGAAAATTGGAGCCAGCATCTAGGAGTACACCAAAATGTGTTTTTCAAAAACTTCAAAATGGCGGAAAATCTAGTTAGGCGCATTTGCATACCATAATTGACTTTTTTGTAGAGCATGTCCAAGAGCACCTGTGTGCCAAATTTGGGGTCAATGGGTGAAAGTGGGAAACCCATGCGGAACCCCAAGAATTTAATTTTTTTTTGCACGTCTGATTCCCACCCCAAAATGCAAGAGTTTATGAATATGATAAATGCTTCAAAAGTGGGATTAAAGGGGAGAAATAATAATAATAATTCTTCGAAACACAATAGGGCTTCGCCCGACTTTCAAGCGGCTCAGGCCCTAATAACAATTTCTTGAAATACAATAGGCTCCTCTTACAAGGAGTTTGGTTCAACTGCTCTGGCCACACTCAATTATAGTTAGGATTAGTAGGAAGCAACTGAATTGGGAGAACCTTCAGAGCAACTACAGATGTGCGCTTTCTTATACCTGTAAAATTCTTACAAATATCACACAGCACAGTAGACCATGTAGCGGTTCAAAATGATCAAAGCCACTATTGAGTTATTGACATCATCTGATAGTAAAACAAAGAAATGTTACAATGTATGCCAGGCAACTATGACATCTTTAAATAGCATTCATTATATCATTACAAAAGAAATATTACATGTGACAATGACAGCAATGTATATCCACAAATCAAAGAAATACTTAGAAATATATATGATAATAAATAATCCTAATTGTAAACCCAAGTCAAAACAGGTAGAGGGGGGAATGCGTGCTTAATAACTTCAATGGTTTTAACTTCAGGGCCAAAATGCATGTTGTGGTACAATCAAAAGAACAAGCTGTCCCTGTTTTCTCGCAAACTGTAGAGACTTGAGCAAAGGTCAATGTATCCTGTATTCTCAGTACGCAGCTGCATAGCACACAACAGGTGAGCTATCAGGCAACTTGCAGGGACATACAGAGCAAGAAACCACTCTGGAAGTGTTCCCTGAAACAGTGACAGAGTCACTGCTCCACACGGCCGTTAGACAAAGATCAAGTGCTAAACAGAAAGAAATATGATAAAGCAGTTTTGACAGCAACATTTTCCTGGAACAATATAATCAAAGGACCACATGAAGAGATGTGAAAAATCCTTCAGTATTCACAGAAAAATATCAACTGAAGTCACTCACTGGACAAGAAGCGTCCAAAGTTTATATACACATGATAAGTAAAATTGAAAATAGATTTTCTTCTCTGTACATATTACATATACAAATTCTATTCTTTCATCTCCCCCTTCCATATTTACAAAGAACTCCTCTTCTCAGTTTTTTTTGTCGATCTAGTCGAGAGAGATAACGTCCGATATGGAGCCATAAATAGCGCCTGCCGTGGCAGCTCCCACGGAGGAACGCGACAATCCCGAGATGACGTGGCTCTCCCGGTCCCTGTCCTTCTGTCTATCTTTGTTGCTTTCCCGCAGACTGCTCGAAGACACCAAACTGATTGTGCTGCCACTGTTACGGCCTCCGTTGGTGGCTGCCAGCGTGCTGCTGCCCGGGATGCCCGGTTGCTCCCGCAGCATCTGAGAGGAGCCGTAGTGCAGGAAACGGTTGAGGAGCAAGTCGTGGTCCTCCGAGGTGGATGCCGATGCAGCTGCCATCACCATGTTGTAACGCTAACAGGATAGAAAAGAGTGAGCATTAATGTAACAGCGAGACAAAAAAGAAAAAACGCACCTCAGTATGATGCTGCAAAGTGTATTTGCTTGAGTTAATATACCTGATTGTCGCCTTGGAGGAAGGAGAAGAAATTTAGATCTGGAAAAAAAAGGAAAAGGGTTGAGTCCATTTACTATAATCTGGATATAACCAACCAATAGTTAATATTTGCTTAAATGATGTCAACTAAGTCTTAAAACAAAGTTGATTGGCTTATGTACATTGAGAGAATCATTGGTTACTGGAATAATTCCTCTTGTCCATACTGAGAATGGAATGATTCTTGCCTTATAGTTTGTTCCTCTTACCAACACAATCACCAACTAGAGCCGCAGCAGTGACTATTACACACGGCTTATGGAGGAAATTAAGGTAGGATTCATTGAAAATACAACCCTACCATGTACAATAATTATTACCACGCGGCACAGTGGCTTTGAGTACTCCACTTGAAAGGGATCGGTGACCTTATCAGCACTCCATGTTAAAACTTAGCTTAGATTAATTCATTCTTCAGCAGATTAAGTTAATCAAATCAAGTGAGTGTCATCCTGGTAGTCATGTGATTTACTGCTGAGGGTTTGTCCCAGCAACAGGATTACACCTGACTATCGGGACATATCACAACAGCACATCTCAGGAACAAGCCACTGTTAGAGGACAAAAAAGATGGGAGTTTTGTGCCACAAAGACAGTTACAGTGAAAGATACACAATCGATACTCAAAGCTGACTTTGATTTATACACCACATTAGCTTCAGCTTAACTTTAAAGGAACTATTGTTTCACAACAAGTATGGACAGCACAAACAAAAACTGTGATCAATAATGAACATTGTTGTATTTTTGTTTATGGCAAGCGGTACCTGGCAGGTCACTGGTTGTGTGATAATAGTGGTGATAGTCCTGGATGAGAGGCGGAGGGGGGGGTATGTAGCTGGTCTCCACATTTGGCATGCTGGGAGCTCTGCTCACAGGTGGGGACGGGCTGTGTAAATTCAGTACTCTTGAAAAAAAAACAGTGCCACATCATTAATATACATCAGGCATGAAAACGGGTCAAAGGTGAAAAAGGTGAGAAGGATATTACCCCTCTAGGGGTTTTCAACTAGTTTTGTCCCAGGGATCACCATTCTTAATGGAAAGTAATTTGCGGCCCACGTGTTTGTAACCGCCGTCGCCACGCCCCCTCTACCTATTCCGCCCCTCCGCACATATTCCACCTGTAGCACTTTTCAGTGTAAGTTCTTCGATATTTTTCACAATATTCAAGAGTAGACCGAATCTCGCGCTCCCTTCTGACACGAGCACCTGTTCGCAGTTCATTGAATCTCGCGAGCTGGACGCATTGATCTTAATGTGCCGGTAATGATGGTAAATGATGGTTGTAGCTGGTTGTCATCTACGGTCCACTACGGTTACATAAAGATGTTGTTTGTTTTTGACAGTGTTTTATCTCATAATTTCGACTTTCTATCCCCTTTCTTTAGTGCGGAAATGGGCTTCTATAGTTGTGTGAATGCATCACTCCAGCCAATCCAAAGACGCGGTTTGTAACCAATCAGGTGTAGAGACCATGGTGACTGGCTCCGCCCCCTCACTGCCAAAAAGAACAACAGCGAGCGCGTAGAAAACACCTTCGAGCACGAGCAGAGATTCTCCTCGCGAGCAACGAAGTTCACGCTCTGCGAGCGAGCAAATAAATAAATAAATATCTCGCGCGAGACAGAGATTTGCTCGCGGATGTTTGATTCACGCGCGCGCATCAACCTGATTTGCGCTCTCGAATTTTGACAGTGATTTGCCGCCATACCCCCACCCAACCCCCCCAAAAAACCCTCAATGAATCTACACGATTCACGTAGGTCACCTATTTTGGTTTCAAAACGTCGAATTTCGCCGAAAGGTGAGGGATTTTCATGCCTGATAAATACAACATAACTCAACTAAGCACCAAGATTCCAAAATGCATCTGCTTGTCTACATCTAACTTCCTCTTTATGGTTTAGAGACTTACCCTTGGCTTGAAGGTGGGGAGACGGGGGACAGTGAGGGACAGGGCCTTTTAAGAGGCGGCTCATCTTCTAGCTCCTCCTCTGAGGAGCTATCCAGTGTCAGGTCAATCACATCAATATTCCTCCTGTTGTCATGAGACGATCCCCGTTTCTGCACATGCATATCGGTCCGAGACAAATCTACACAGGAACCGTTAACTCACACTTTGCTCACAGCTCTCAATGACTTCTGCATTAGAAGAATCTGAAATGCACTCGTTGCATACCGCTGTCTACACCGTTGTACGAAGCCGACGCATCCTGCACCTCTTTCTTTGACCTCATGGGGGACCAGTTTCCATCTTCTTTGAATTGGATTTCATCACAGTCAGAACAGCTATTCAAGATTTCCATGAATAACCTGTGAAAGCAGAATACGATTTATTTACAGTTTGATAACTTTGCAACCATAATTGCTTTAGTACTCTATCATATTTAGTTTGGTAAATACAGTATTAGTGGTACGTTATGAAGCCGTCATTAAGATGCTTTTCTGTAACTACAAATGAGATGATTAAATGTGTTACAGGAAGGTTTGAGCCCTATCCAGCGTTCAAAAAGAAGGATTTACTGTCAAAAATGTAGAATAATTTATCTTCGTTTTTGGTTTTAGCAAAAACAACAACAAAAAAGCTAGTAGATTTCGGCGGGGAGGCAATTCCAGACAGTTCCTCGGCACCATTGCCAATGGAAAGACAAGTGTCGCGTTGAAGTTGATGTCACAGCAGTTTTACGCAGCTTTGGTTAGGTAATCAGCTTGGAGTCCCTACCACACTAAGGGGCTTCCCACCCGCAGAGGAAAGCCAAATAGTCAAAAGCAACTGTAGCGAAGGTGATCGGAGTACAGCAAAACAATGTGAGACAGTAATCTAGCAGGAATGTGTGACTCGTTGTCTCACCCGTCGATGATGAGGTGCTCATAGGGCGCCTTCTTGTCACAGACAGGACACATCCAGGTCGGCTTCCTCTCATTCATTTGGATGTAAAGTGTAGCGTCGAAGCACTGAAGGTGAGAACACGTCAACGCCCTGCAGGGGATTGTCAGCCTCATCTTTCCCAACTTGAACAAAAACAAAACCGACTAAATAAATGATGCTTAGTTTTATAATGACAGAATACTGGAGGTAAACATATGAAATGAAATACAGTTTTTAAACACTTACTAATAAAACCCAAAGTAATTAAAATCAGGAATACATTTTATATACAGTACCAGTCAAAAGTTTGGAAACACTTAATTCGAATGAGAGTCCCCACTTTTGACAGGTACTGTAGATGTATTGAATGACTAATGAATATACTTGACTGACAGCTTCTTCTTGTAGGTTACTAGGAAAACCTTTCAAAATAACTACAAGAACAATAACTTAAACTTCACCTTCCTTCGCACAGCAGTTCTAAAGCACCGACACGTGTGCAAATATGTGAAATATTTGAGAGTACACCAGACCACCACCCCTCACCCCCATTGAAGTTGTAAACCTAGGGGAAACACTGAACGACAATGAATATGCAGTGTAGTGAAGTATTTACAGGACACAGGAGGGAGACTCGTAGGCTGGTGGTGGCAATCTCACTCTCTGGGTCAGCTGTTAATTTCTCTTTGACTGAGAAGAAACAGAATTACACAACAAAGTGATTATGACTTTGTTTAATCCAAATGTTAATTTGTGCTTTAGGATCTCAAACTACACCCGAAATAATCCTACACATAGGCAGCATACGCCAATTCAAAGAGGAACATTAAGAAAATTGGCCCTTTTCGAGAACTGTTATGGAACTGAATACTTTTACAGAACATGGTTCATTTTTCTGGGTCCTAAATTTCATCCCGCAGACATCCAAACTTTAGTGACTACGTGGTCTAACACGAATGAACATCATTCACTAAATGAACAACATTATATAATGTTATTCTACTAAAGATGTAGAGGCAACACCTGTTATATGTTTTCACGTGCAAAATTCCCGAGGAAACTTACTCAAAGCTCTTGAGTGGTCAGGGTTCCTAATTCCTTTGGCCCGTAGTTTTTGCAACAACACGGCAGACGACTGCTGCCTTACCAGGTAGACAGCCACAGAAAAACTCTGACAAAACAACGATAAAAGGAGGGAAACAAGTTAAACCGGAGTGTCCTCGTTAATGGAAGATGACAAGTTACTCTTAACACTTTTGCTTTATTTTCTTACCCTCCCAATTTCTGAAGTCCATGACACAACAATTGTGTTGGGGACAGTGGTGGAGAGTCGGACAAGAGAAGTTATGTTTATGGGGCGACTGGGCCTTTTTGGTTCCACTCCATTTTTGGTTTGAGGAAGATATCCCTGCAGACAAAACATCCAACATCAGTGACCTTGATTCTCACTAACTGTTGAGTGAACATTTGACAAGGAAGTCCGACAAAAAATTTGTCTGGATTTACCGGGAGATTACAGGGTTTGCCGTTCACCTTCACACTGAGATTAGGGGTGAAATAATCCTCTTGAGGACAGCTCGTCTCCGATAAACAAAATCTGAAAAAAAAAATTGCAAGTGGAAGCTCAAATATTGAGGGATAAATGTCAAAAGAAATGTGATTCTAGTTGGCGTGTAGCTTATATTACAATTTCATTTGTGCCAAATGCAGCCAACTATTCACTTTAACAAGAGAAACTTCTTGGGTGTAAGAGAAGGTCCAAAGTAGGTTGGACATACCTTAACTGAACTTGAACTGCAAAGTCACATTTGGTCCCAGATATGTCCCTAAAGAATTAAAAGGTAAGTCAGATCTACCTGATGAAAGGGTTAACACAATCTAATACCTACATTCTTAACTCTGATTGCTTGCTGTGTTAGATAATACCTGCTTTGAAAACCATGTAAACAGTACATCAGAATGCTTCTTTCACAGTATTATTTCTTCTTTTCTCACATCACTTACATGGAGCTGCTGATCTGTTGAACCTGCTGTGGTGTTAAAGCAAAAGCATAACACGCTTCCTGGAACCGCTGAGTGTTGTCTGAAGCTGCAAAAAAACACCAAGAAACAGAACAGTCAGAAGGAAAACCTAGAGAGAACTCCCGTGGCTGACTTTTATCAAGCCGTGGTTTGGATATCTGTGGTCACAATAGTGCATCAATATGTAGAGATAAAAGCGAGCTGTTACTATTACAAAGTGAAGTTGTGAACTGACCCAGGCTGGTCGGCTTAATGAGCTCATCCAGTACGTCGTAGAACGGCAGTCTCTGGAGCTTGACATCAGGGTGCACGGGGTGAAGGGCGGAGGGGAGGTGAGGCAAACCCAGCTCATGTTTAGGCCCAAGTAAAGAAACAGGCAGTAGAGGCGATGCAGAACCGTGACTGTCAAATCCCAGCTGGGCCAGGCCAGCAGGCAGGGTGGAGGCAGAGTGAACGCTGGGCAGAGCCAGGTCGACCGGCGAAACCATTTTGGTTGGGAAGCGCCGCCTGTAGAGCTCTTTGATCTTCATCTGCACTGCGGGACTGCAACCGGCCTTGAGTAGGTGGAGAGCTTTGGTCAAGAGTTCGTGTTTGCGCCCGTGCTTATTCCGTCCTGCATACCCCAACAACACTTGGAGCTCCGAAACTCGAAGGCTCATTACCATTTGCTGGTGAAGAAAAAAAGCGGGTTAGTGAACTGATTTTTCTCAGCAGACCATTTAAAACCTAATTCTTAAATCAAGGTTCATTCATTTTCTTTAACACTGTTTTTTGAGATATGCTTCAAGCAGGAAGATGTATAGAGTTTTTTGTCCAGTTAGTATCTCAAAAAAGACACCCATTAAAAGCATCACTGTGTCTTATATTTAACAGACAAACACACTCTTCAGTGGTTTTGGCTGAGATGCTTCTTGGCTTGAGACCGCACATAACATACTTAATTTCCTTTTAAAAATACACGATGTGTGGATCATCATCAACAATCCAATGGCACAGGATTTTTTATTTTCAACCAAACACATCGGACAGTACAATAATCAACAATGCAAATTCTTAAAATGATCACTGCCGTCGACCAACACGTTTGTGACAGAACCAAAACATTTTGAATGCTCAGAGGTCATTTGTTTGTTGTAAATGTATGGAAGAAAATCTGTATCATCGGATTTTGAAAGAAAAAGGTGATTGAATTTCTAGCACTGAATATTTATGCATTGAAATCATGTATCTGAATGTTTTTCAACGTTAAAATATTCAACTGCAAATAATTCAACCGCAAATAATTCAACTGCAAATAATTCAACCGCAAAAAATTCAATGCAAAAAAATTCAACCGCAACATCCGGGAACCCAAGGAAGAGCAATCGATTCTAGATTCAAGATCGGGAGCGTGCGTCAAGTAAAAGGAGCGAGCGCCCCAACACAACTTCGGCTGTCGGCTAGCATGATGATCGGATTTTAGCCATGTCCGTTAACAATGGGGCTTCGTTGAGTGTTTTAACTTTAACTTTATGACTTCATGCCATCAGTGTGGTTTGTGTCTGTAAGGTTCAGTAATAGACAGCTAACATTTGTACATTAACAGACTGTATAGGACATGAACTAATCGGAAGTTAAACGAGAGCGTACAGCTGGTCAGAATACGCATTTTCTTCTAGTTTTGAATTAAGTTAATGATGCTGTGATGCTTCGACAAGCTATTAGGAGTGATTGGCGGAGTTTTGAAACCAGGAATGCGCTTGTAGAGCACATATAAGCCGCTGCAACGTAGTGGCGGGGGGGTGGGGGGAGGGGGGGGGCAGCGGCTTTAGCGGAGCGTGTGCAGACGCATAACCCCGACAGTACATGCAGGAATAACCGGGGTACTGATGGAGTTCTCTTGGTCTGGTAACCGTGAAGCTGGTAACCGGGTTATGAGAACTCCGACTATATCCTGGGTAAGGTGTGGGTCATCGTGGCGCAGAAGTTAGAGAAGGTGTGCTGTGAAGCACAAGGTTGGTGGTTCGAGTCCAGGCTGCCCCATGTTCCATGTTGAAGTGTCCCTGAGTAAGACACCTAACCCCTAATTGCTCCCCGGGCAAAAATGTGAAAAAGCCATGGGTTTAAAGTGTAATGTAAGTCGCTTTGGATAAAAGCTTCTGCTAAATGATCAATTATCAGAAGAATGCCGTGGCTGCTAAGCTCATGCTGGATATGATTCTGGTGCTATAGCCAAACTTAGTACAAAGGATATTGCCTGTCTGATTATCTTAAAATCATGTATATTATATGTGTACTACTGATATGTAATATCCTTCTTACAGGGTTTTTTCTGTGCTGTATTTGTGATTACAGGGTAATGTTAGTCAGGAAGATATTGTTGAGTCAGCAAGGCGATTATTAGACTTAGTAACCTCTTCTGAGAGACACCGGGGAGCCGATGACACCAATCAAGATATGAGGTTTTGTATTAAACTGCAATTCATGTACATATGGCTTACTTTTACTTATACATTCTATACATGTTGATGATTAGGCTTAATGTATATTTTCAGATCCAATCCAGCAGAGAACAGAGGCGGGGCGGGGGCGTGAAGATGGGAGTTCAGCCCTTCAGCCAGAAAGACCCTCAGTTCAAATGGAAATGACCAGGTAAAGAAAAATGTGCTATTTCAAATGCAAGTTTATGTATACATACTTTGTAATGATGTCAATTTGTAGTCAAAACTCCACCCGCTACCTACAGTAAGTAGTGACAGACATAGCATTGTGTAGCATTATCAGCTTCTTACTAATATTGCAGCCATCGAAATGTAGGTGTTCATTTTTGTGACCATTTAGTAAAAAAGACCTGTTTCACTTATGGCTAATGTGAAATTTATATAAGAAATGACCATAGGTTTCAACGGTCTAAATCAGGGGTGCCCAACCTTTTTTGAACCAAGATCTACTTTTAAAGTTACTACTAAAGTTGATAGTGTATCGAGATCTACCAAGCCATATCGAGAGCCGTAGCGTAGCCACAATTTATTGCGCACCTATATAGGACACTGTTTTCTGACACATAGATACAGTTTTAACAATCATAATACATTTATTGAAGTAAATGTGAATTTGCAAAGAATAAGCACAAGTAGGCCTAGGACTGGCCCATAACAACACGACAGACAAACAACCCAAATAATACAATGCCTAATTCTTTGAACTTTTATAAGAACTAATTAAAGTTGGAAAAGTGGCATTTCTCTACCTTTTCTGGCACTGAGAGGAGGACTATAGTCTCTCATAGTCCGGACAGTAAGAGCTGAGTGCCAGCCGTAAGCAGACTGCAAGGTGGTCATCAGTCATGGTGGATCTGTATTTTGACTTGATGATTTTCATATGTGAAAAGGCAGACTCACACAAATATGTTGATCCAAAAAGTGCAGTCAAATTCTCTGCAGTTTGTCTGAGGTTGGGGTACTTCTCTTTCTGCATTAGATTCCAGAATCGGACATTCATGTGTTGCTCTGGATTTGAGCTCAATGTCATTCTTCAGTGTGAGGATCTCATTCCCCACAGCACAGCTATCCAGGTTGAAGAGTAATGCCACTTTGGACGTTATACAATCCACATCTACATTTTCCCCAAATGGAAAACAGAGATGACAACAGGCTCAATGGATGCAAAGTCAGTGAAGCGCCTGTCAAATTCTGACAAGATGCTCTGCACTTGCTCATCATAACGTGCACTCTCAAGCTCCGCCCAGTCTTTGCCCACAGCCTGGGCTGCCAACTCTCACGCATTGGCCGTGAGACCCACGCATTTGATCGGTTTCACACGCTCTCACGCCACACCTCCGATTTCTCACGCCAAAAAAAAAAGGGAGACTACCATTGAAAAAGAGGGGCGTCAGAACACAACAGTAATGTAAGGTTCCCTTTCCTGTCCATGGACACGTTTACAACGCGCTCGGTATCGCGCTGCACGGCTACGTCCGCGCGCTCCCATCAGCGGAGCAGAAAGCGCGTCGTCGGTGTTCGTCTGATCCCCCCCGGCCGGTCTCACGCCAAGGTTTTTGTAAAAGTCGGCAGCTCTGTTTCCCTGTTTCTAAATAAATCTATTTATTTCATCTAATTGATGCTACAGTAGCGCGTTAGGCTGCGATGGTAGGCGCATTGCATTGTGGGACAATCTTTGGATCCATTTAAATCCCTATCTGTTATGTTCATGTTCTAGTGTTTAAGTTTATGTGTGTTTTTCTAGGTTCTGTTGTGTTGTGCTCAAATGTTACTGTTTAATGTTGTGTTGTGCTCAAATGTTACTGTTTAATGTGTAAGAGTGTGGGCACCATGACCCAACTTAGTATGGCTGTGGGTCAAGTTCTGTGTTCAACGGCTGAACAAAGTGTCCTGGGGTCAAAATTTCTCGCGATCGACTGGAACTCAGCCTACGATCGACTGGTAGACCGCGATCGACTGGTTGGGTACAACTGGTCAAAATCAATGCCACTTGATGTAACACTTGATGAAAGTATGCAGTAGAATGCCAAGTTTTTCTATATTCATCTATCTTGCAAGAGCCTTTTGTCAACCTTTTAATGTAGTAAGAAAAAACTTAAAAACCTGTTTTCTACAGGTCCTTCCCAGGTATGTTTACCAAGGCCAGAGGAAAGAGGCGCTTTCCTGCAGCAAATCTTGTTCCTGCCAAGAGAGCAAAACCGCTTGAAGTGGCTTTGTATTTGCTGCCAAACCCGTAGGAAAGAACTCCAAAAGAGCAGGAGCAAATACTCCATATGCCGGCCCGGGTTGGGCTGTAGAACCACTCATGTAGATGAGAGCACAACACATGAAGAGGTAGTAATATGTAATTAGTTCTTTAGTCTAGCTTGTATGTTTATATGCATTAATATACATATTACATTAAAGAAGTTATTTTGTAGATCCAAATATACATTCATGTTTGCTCAAGTGAAATGGAGAAAACTATGGGTTACTTCTAGTGCTTTAAAGTTATAACCTGTTAATCATAATCTGTAAGAATTGAGATAAACCTTTCTTTCACCCGTAAGCACAAACACAGTCAAAACTGAGTTTTCAAAGGTCACCCTGAAGGGCGTACACCTAACCTGTTTTCCAACATTTTCGTATAGACAGAAGGCCAAATATCCAACTCCAATGCACTTTTCTGATGACCAAATAGCCTTTCAGATCCGATTGGACTGGGAACATTCTGAGTTGGGGACACAGCCCTAATAACAGCACCACAACTTGTATTCATAGAAAAAACAATTGCATGGATTTTGATGTTGTCATTTGATCTAATCAAGCTATCCCTTTTCAGAGTGTTATGGTTAAATACACTTGTATAATTTTTTTCTCACAGTTATGTGATGCCCTCAAAGCATAAAGCATCAGGTAGGCCAACACAAGTTTGTTTGTGTTGCTCATTCGTATAAAAAGTACATGTGCAGCAGCTAACTGCACATTATGCAATGAAGACTGTTGATTTGATTCATTCATATTAATTACAGATGGTTCCCAAATAAAACTTTAACAAAATTCTCTTAACTCATCTCAAGTACATTTGTTATTAAGACTGTCTATGTTGATTTCAAGGGAAAACATTTATTAGGAGTCTTACTGCAAGACAAAAACAAAACTACAAAGTGTTAAATTGTAATAACTGTATTTGAAAAATAGACAGTTGGCTTCTTCAGTTTATACTCTAGTCACACAAAAAGTCTAGTTACTTTGACTTAAATTAAATATATATTATGTATCCAACACACTGTTGAAAGTTTCCAATCTAATTTCCATCTGTAATGTTTTCCACAGCTGGCTGGGGAAGCCGAAAACTCTGTGTTGTGCCTCCAGAAGATAGTGGCTTTTCAGGCAGGGTCTTGAAGGCTATAGGTCGTTGTAAAAGTCTGTTCATAGCCTCAATTCAAGAAGAACTTAACACAAATCCTCTACCACTCAATGATGAAGCATTCAGGAGCATGCCAAAAGCCATTTGTCAGAAGTGTGGAGCAGCAGTTCCCCTTCCACTCCTGACAGAATACATCAAGTCTTGTGATGTAATTGATGTTGACGATAACCTGACTAATGTCGATAGCGGTGAGCCTGAAGAGAGAAAATGTCAAAATTATTTGTTTAAGATTTTGTTAGCATATTACATATCATTCATAAAATGAATTAAGAAACCTTTTCTTTCAAAATATCATTGTTCTTTCTTGTAACTTCCATTTCTCAGCAGCAGACATGCAAGAGTGTCCTGTCTGTGCAGAAATGTTTACCACTGATTGTATTGAGGTACACGCTTCAGCCTGCGGGGAAAGGTATCCATTTAGCTGCAAGAAAAATACTGAATTTGTCAACTGTATAGAACGTACTATAAGTAAGAAATAGTGTTAACGCTCAGAACAGAATAACTTTGCTTAAGGGCTAACATACTCTTAATTCATTTGCATTTTGTCAAAAACATTATTTGAAAAGAATTACCATATCAATTTATGGTTTGTATCAATATGAATTAAAGACTGGGGTCCTGGAACTGAGTAGGTCCGTCGAGCAATGCATCCTAAATGGAGCATACGGGAGATGACACCAGTGGTGTCAACACGGTGCATGGAAGCTCTGACACGGTTATACTGCACCCGTAGTCCTCTGGCTTGCAGAAGTGCTTTCACCATTCGGTATCCAGAATGAGGCTGTCTGGATTTAATCTCCCTCACACACTGGTCTAACTCTTCATCTGTCATGGTGCTGTATAGTGCCTTTATTAAGAGATTATACTCAGCCATGCGCCGGTACACAGTGCTTCTGGAAATCCCCATGAGTTTAGCGATACAGGGGACCAACAGATTAAGTTCAAGAAGGTTGCATAGGTAGTCTGGGGATATGGCCATTCGTTGTCGTCCAGCTGGTTCTTCCTCAAACTGCACAACGGCAATATGTTGCTTACCTTTTTCTTTTTCTATGTTTATAAGACTGTGCAACTGAGTAAGTGCATCTAAAATTGCTGGACAGACAGCTACCTGAGAGGATACAGAATTTAAAAACACAAATTCTTGTGTGCAAGTGAACTCTAAGAAGTCCAGATCTAGAGGCATGCGTCCCAAAATATTTTCCAATCAAGAGCGAAGTCTTTCTAACAGGTGATTAAGCAGCAGTTCCTAGGAAAGAGAAAAAAATGTTATGTCATGTAAACTACCAATAGATAAACAAAATCATTACTGTAAGACCAGTCTATAATCTATAGTAATGATTACTAACTTACATACTTCTACAGCTGAAATCTGCATTCATTTAAGTCAAACTGAAGGCTGTTCTGTTCATAATTCCATCAACTGAAAGTAACTTTAGGGTTACCACGATGCATGCTGAGTGACTAGTTAACACATTACTCGTTAAACCGAAACCTCATTCATTTGTGCTTATTTAAAACTGCTTTCTGTAAAGTCAAACTAGTATCATAACTTCTACTCAACTGTCTTTACTTTTAAGAACTTTATTAAAATTCAGTGACAGATCACAATCTCTGCTTCACAACTGTAAGGTCGTATGGGACAATAAACCGTTGTCACACTATAATGTGTATATGTCTGATATGTTTGTGTTTTTGGTGGAGTTTTTATGATACTATATAATGTATGACATCGTACTGAGAGCTTGAAAAAACAACAACCGAATGGCATCTCGTTTAACTTCCGCTTAGTTCATGTCCTATACAGTCAGTTAATGTACAAATGTCAGCTGTCTATTACTGAATCTTACAGGCACAAACCCCACTGATGGCATATAATAGAGTTACAACACACCGAAGCCCCATCACCGTTGGACATGCAATGGTCGTGCATGTAAACAGCATATCCTGCCCCCCCCACTACGCTGCAGTGGCTCATATGTGCTCTACAAGAGCGTTTCTGGTTTCAAAACTCCGCCAATCACTCCTAATAGCTTGTCGAAGCATCACAGCATCATTAACTTAATTCAAAACTAGAAGAAAATGCGTATTCTGACCAGCTGTACGCTCTCGTTTAACTTCCGCTTAGTTCATGTCCTATACAGTCTGTTAATGAACAAATGTTAGCTGTCTATTACTGAATCTTACAGACACAAACCACACTGATGGCATAAAGTCATGAAGTTAAAACACTCACCAAAGCCCCATTGTTAACGGACATGGCTAAAATCCGATCATCATGCTAGCCGACAGCCGAAGTTGTGTTGGGGCGCTCGATCCTTTTGCTTGACGCACGCTCCCGATCTTGAATCTAGAATCGATTGCTCTTCCTTGGGTTCCCGGATGTTGCGGTTGATTTTTTTTGCATTTCATTTTTTGCGGTTGAATTATTTGCAGTTGAATATTTTAACGTTGAAAAACATTCAGATACATGATTTCAATTCATAAATATTCAGTGCTAGAAATTCAATTACCTTTTTCTTTCAAAATCCGATGACACAGATTTACTTCCATATAAATGTACCTATGTTCAACCAGTGTAATGTGCTGTGAATAACAGTGACTAGCCTCTATATCAGGTTCTGTATACTAGGAAATGTGACGCAATAATATGTATTTGATAAAAGAGATGAACTTTCAGACTGTATGGACGAAGAACAGCTCATATGAGGCAACAGATCAGTGTCAACAGCGCCGAGATTTGTCGAAGAAGGAAGCAGATCAAAACAAAAACGTGTCACAGTGAGCGTTTTAGGACAAGTATTAATCAATAGCCAACAGTAACGTAACGTTAGACGGTACACTTCACTCGGTACAATTCACTCCATCTCATGTATTAGAGTAATCGAAAATAAAGGGTTACATAACCACCAACCACTGTGGATAGCAGCTGTATTTCATGATCCATAGTCACATCATACCAGAACTAACGTTAACGCTAATGAATGCTAAACGGCTCTTGTCTTCCAGGGAATAGACAGAGCCCGATTTTAAAAACAGACTTTGTGTTCCACTTGGGGAACTGCTGATAATGTCATTTGGCTAACACTACAGAGTCGGCAGGATGAAAAGGTTGACACTAATGTGTATTTTTAAAATATATTTCTAAAAGCGGTATATGGCCTTATCTGCAGGTGAGTCCCACAGCAGAGGCAGCCAAACGGAACGTCGGCAACAACAACAAAGCTAATGCTAACGCAGCTAACAGTTTGCCGGCCCCACTGCTCTGTTGTTTTGGTATTATATGCTTTGTTAACGAAATTCGGGTCCCTACTATCCAGTTACAATGGTGCTACGATTTAAAATCCAATTCTCACGATATAGTCTATTTGTCAAGCTAATGAAGGGACTCGCTTTACCTTCAGTTCCACACTGTCCGCCATCTTGTTACATTTGGTACGCATGCGCAATAGCGATCCTCAAGGGAGAGCGCAAATTCACATTTGTGTCACTTCTTCACTAGAAACAGAAGGGGGCGCTGCAGCCACACGTACAACTGTGGGGCATTAATGGAATAAGGCTGCCCAGTTTCACAGAAAAATGTTGTCGTGCGGGCAAAACAAGGACCAGCCTGGAAACTTAAATCAAAATAGTATGACAGTTGATTTGCTACAAGATTATTCTGTCCTGCAATTTAACGTGCACGGACCTATTTCAGGCAGTTTAACAACAACATGAAAAAAGGCGCTTAATACAAAGTGCGCTCGTATTATATAGTCTTTAAGAGCATTTTTGATTGGTTATTAAGATGGAGGCGGCTCCTGCTTAGAACCCTCGGAGAGCCCCACTGGAGCACAGGAACGTCCATCCCTCTGGGCTCTCTGATCATCACGCCTCCCGTTGTTCAGGAGTTCTTCATATCAGGATGTTTGCCAGATGTGTGCAAGATGATTTGAATATGAGCGATTGCCGCAGTTCTAGGTATGGACATGTTATTCTTAAAATGGGGAACTGCATTTGACCCAGATAGTGCTGCATCTTTCTGCAACATGTTCGTGTGCTGGTGTTGTGACTTGAAATACGTGTTGTTCGTGCAATCCGGCCTTTAAGCAGCCTTCACCCATTTTTACTATGCATTTACAGTTCAAGTGTAATTTCATTCTAGCGTAAGCGTGCATGCTTATATTTTAATACTCAACAAATCCACCTTTTCACACCTACTTGGGGTGAACTACTCATCAAGGAGGAATTCTACAGCAGAAGCGCAAGCAACATTGGCTTCTGGAGACGGGCGTTTAATATCGAATTCAAGCAGTGGACATTGCTCGTACGGAGGAAGCGGGCCTTTCTCCTTGGAGAGGGCGGTGGTGATTAACCGGGATGTCATAGTACGGAGGCAGGGGATGCAACTACAGCCGCAGGTAACTACGATCCCTATGAATACGATGATTGAGACGGCAATAGACATAACTAAAGATTTCCATTTTCCAAACATATTTTCCATGCAATTTACAGAGGGGTTATCGATTCCGGAGGCCTCATGCATCAAGAGCCTTTGTAATTGATCCATCGGGAGCGGTATTATTTGGAATAACCATCCAACACATATCCCCGAACATGGCGCACACCCCACTTTTTTCAGTAGCATATCCAATGCCATTCTATTCTGGACCGCCATAAAAGAAGTTGGAGCCAACTTCTCCGAGAGACCTTCAATAACGTTGCGGGTGATATTGGCCATATGCAGGACATTGTAAAGAATGTAATTGATGCGGTTGACATTTTTACTCGCAGTTATGGGGAAGATGGCGGAGATCTGTGGGATGTTTTCGAACCCTGAGGCAATTTGGTCTACCAATTTAAACCGGTCTGGGACATCGCGAGGGATACCAATTGCATCTATGTAAGTGGGTCCGTCTGTTAGATCAAATGAGCTGGTGACACTTCTTTTACGCAGAATATGTCTTCTCCTACGCCTGGTGAGAGTGTCAGATAGGGAACTAGTAGTGGCCAACCGGTTGCCCATGAGGGTGAGACGGGCTGCCGATCGCACCATGGCACACACCCCTATTGTCTTACTGTGATCTATACTCACAACCAAGCGAAGGCCTCGACAGTAGTAGTACAAACCGCCTCGGGCCCAAGGGCCAAACGTTGCTCCGGGCTCAGTAGTATTGCACCAACCTGTGGAAATATTTCCAACATTTACACTGGGGTGAGTGGCAGTAAAATTAAAACATCGGTGCGCGTGTTGATCCGTCACTGGGGTCCGTCTCAGTCCCCCCTGCTCCTCCACCGCCGATGTGAGCCCTCCCTCCTTGGCTCTGATGTCCACGTTACCCTAGTGATCACACACATAACGTTCTCAACTGGTGTGTTTCAAAAGTCTTTGCCCATCAATGTCTCTTCTTCTTTCTTCGTCCCTGGTACAACTTCTCTGATGCTTTGTTCTCCAAAGGTTCTGCTTCCTTGACGTATCAATTTCATTACAACGTCCAAAGGAGTAAAAGTTTTCTCTAATTCTGTCCATCTTCAGACTCGCTAAATGAGTCCTGCTTTCTTTGCTCGTCAGACTCCTGTCGTCTTTCGTTCAGATCATCCAAGCATTTTGTAATGTTCATTGATGGGGCTGTAGTCATTGGTTCTTCTTCTTCATGTGTCCATACAATATTTCCTCAACATCGATTTGAGTGTTTGGTGCCAGCGTTCTAATGCTCCCTGACTTTCAGGGTGGTAGGCACTGGAAACCTTGTACGTGATGGACAGTGTTTCCAGTCCTTGGACAAACATGTTAGCCATGAAATTAGTACCCTGGTCTGTCTGAATGACTTTAGGCAGACCGAAAACCACAAAGAATCTATTTAGTGCCAATACTACTACCGTTGACGTGATCTTCCGAAGAGGAATAGCCTCTGGATATCGGGTAGCAGCACACATTATTGTCAGTAAGTATTGGTTGCCTGACCTAGTTTTAGGTAACAGGCCAACACAGTCGACAATCACTCCTTCAAAGGGTTCACCCATAACAGGAAACGGGCAGAGTGGGGCCTGCGGAATGACCTGGTTCGGCTTTCCGGCCATCTGGCAGGTATGACTTGTCCTGCAGTGACGAACCACATCCTTCTTCAATCCTGGCCAAAAGAAAATTTGCAACACACAGTTATAGGTTTTGTGACTCTTAGGTGCCTAGACCATGGGATGTCATGAGCGAGGGACAAAATGTGGGTTCTGAACGGTGTCGGCACCACAATCTGCAATACAGATCTCCCTGTGTCTTCAGCTTTGTGTGAGGACCATTTACGAAGCAAAAGCCCATCCTCACAAAGGTAAGCAACAGCCTGTGCCTTAGCTTGCTCCTGCGTCACAGCAGAACTATAACATTTTCTAAGTGTAGGATCTGTCTTTTGTGCCTGAATCAGGTTCACACGTGTAACAGGTAACATGCACTCCTCAATGGGAGATGCATGACTCAGATCCTGCGGTTTTATTGATGCTGGTGAGTCAAATATTGTGTCATTTAAACCAATCAGATCGCCCAGCTGACGTGACTGTGCACGCGTCACCACACATGCTGGGTACACAGAACTAAGCTCAACAGAGTTAGCAAGCTTTTCGGTAGCGTTTAAAACTTCCAATACTGGACTCACCAGCCCTCCACCAATGTCTTTTCCCATTACCAAGGCGATCCCTTTTACGGGGAGAGAAGGTAGTACAGCGACTTTGAAACGTCCGCTTACCAATCTCAATGCCTTGTAACAAAACGTTGTAGCCACAAGCCGAACTGTCAGACCAAGGCAACACATTCGACAGAATAATGGACTGCGAAGCCCCTGTATCTCGTGGTATACGAATAGGAACCTGTGGCTCTGAATTATTAGTTAACGACACAGACCCTGCAGATATGAAAGGATCGTAACAAGAATCAGCAGATTGACGTGACACAGGCAACAATTTCACAGAAGTGCCGGGGAAAGTGTGAACTAGCCCCACGGGTTTGGTAGAAGCCTGCCTATGTTGCAGCTTCAAACAATCCGCCATTAAGTGTCCTTTTCTATGGCAGTAAAAACATTCACGCTCCTCCCTGGAACGAGGCGGAGAACGGGGAGGAGTGCGTCTCACCGGTGCAGGAGACGCGGAGGCAGCACCCTTGATCCGGGAATGTGGTCTGTGCAGAGGACAAGGGTGAAGACGCTTGCCCAGCGTGAGCCACTGCAACTTTCCCATCGATCTCCAGCTGCCTCATCCTGTACAGTTCCATTTCCCTAAAGTTATAGTTATTCTCGGCTTGCCTAGCCTGCCCCTCCATCTGGAGACATGCAATCCTCACCTTCACACGAGCATCCAAACTGGATCTCTGGCTGGACAAAGGATCACAGCGGGGAAGAGTGACTGGGGTTCTCACACCATCCTTTTCCTCTGCCTGACTTGCCGTGGGAGAGCCAAAGACACTGGCAGCCTGCTCACCTGGCACATTTCCTCGGATAGGAGAACCTGCCGCCACAACTGGAGGTAAGACACTTCGTACAGCAAGCGCTTCCCAGAGTCGCAACTCATGCTTAACCTAGTGCTTAGGCACAGCCAGTGAAAAATGCTTAATTATCACCCCCAGGTCTACCTTGCGACACTGCTCTAGCAGCTCAACGGACGGCTGCGCAAGGAACAACTGCGCCAGCGTCGTAGCCATCCCAGCACATGGCCACTAATCAACTACAACAACTAACAGGTCCAGACCCCACAGACGGTTGAGCTAGTGCAGGGGTATTCAACTAAAATGTTAAGAGGTCCAGTTAGAGAAATTTTCTTGAAGCAAAGGTCCAGAAGATCATAATGTCTAACTATTTAGTGTGATATATATTTAAGTAGCCTGGTAGTTGTATAAACATCTGCATAAAAGCAATACCTTTCAAATCAAAGGAATTCGGTACGATTAAAACACTTTTTAACAATATTTATTATCATGTAACATAGAACTGGACTTATGTGTGACTGCAGATATGTGTAATGCTCTCTCATGAACTAAATAAAAGTAGGGCTGCATTTTTAAAATAAAATAAATACAAAATGAAAATGGTGCATGTAATAATAAATAATAATAATAATCAAATAAAGTGCTTAACTTCAGAAAAATTAAGTAAAGGGAGGAAAAGCTTAAATGTCCCCGTTTCAGTCTCAAACGATTTTACAGATAATAAATCTTAACACATCTTAACAATTTAACAGTTTTAGAGCATTAGTCTTGCATCCCACTTCCCCACTTTGTTGGTCAGTGGGAGAATTGAGCTCTAGCTTGTGCTGCCAGGACTTTAAACCTGGGCTTGAATGGAGTCAGGGCCATCCGCATGCACATGTGGAGGTGCTCATTGGTGAGCCTCAAACGATATTTATTTTTGATGATATTCATCGTGGAGAAAGCTGCCTCGCAGTTGTAGGTGGAGCCAAACATGGTCAAGATGTA